CTTGTCCTCCTGCGTAGGCAACCATCGTAGTGGTTTGTCCTACTAGGCAACCTACTTAAGCATTCAATAAATATTAATTCATGAGATTCATTCATTTAAAAAAAAAAAAAAGTGTTAACGCTTCTATTCTAGAAGAGTTTTTTCCAGCTGTGGCTGACTGCTCTGCAGTCTGAGTTAATACACGCAAAGCTAGATTACAGTTTGGACTGCTCGTTGCCTGAGGGCACTATGGAGTTAAAGATGCACAGATTAAGTTAAGCCAAATCAGATTTAAGGAGCAGTTGCTGCACACAGGCCGGTTTATCTCTGAAGGAGCTGGCTCCACTAGGACTAACCTACAGTCACATTACATCAGCCTGTTTTTTAAGCAGCAACAACAATTCAATGATGAGCAGGTAAATGAAAGATGTGTGTTAGCCTTAAGTCTGTTTAGTAGGCCCTTGTTCATTAGCATGTCCGTTTCCTTCAAGAAGGAGAGGGTCACGTCTCTAAAAGTTAGTCCAGACTACTGTCATACAGTTTAGGACCACATTTCTGGAGGACTGGAATGACTTAATTCAGTGCGTTTCAGGCTCCAGAGCTAAGCGAGCCTTCCCTCCCCACTACACAAACATTCTAAACAACATATATAGTTTCCCCAGCAATAAATGGTATCATGGCTCACAGAGGAGTCGGCAAATAGCACTGTAAAACAAACCAGAATGCAATGCAGCAACACCTGTACTGAAGCAAAGTTGTTTTGGAAGCTCCAGAAGGAAAAGCAAGCCATGAAGACGCTGAGCTGATTGGTAGTAGAACAAGAATGAAAACTGTTTGTGTTATAAACAATCATCACCTTCAACTTACTATGACCTAAGCCATCTGCTGCAATGACGCCTTCCCCAGAGTTATATTCCACAGTGGGATAAACTGAATAAATTCCACTAATTCTTATGAGTCTTATGTAGATAACAGGATGTGTGGTACAGTGTCACAAACCTAATGAATTCCTTATATGCTCCTAAAATTAGCCTGAGGCCTGTGTTTTCTCATGACCCAGACATCAGCTATCATTAGAAGCAGCCAGTCCTGCCAGGTCTTCCCTGTCCTGATCACGTCAGCATCCAGCCACAGGCGTATGACTCTGCCTTCAGTAATTCACCTGAATCCTCTGCAAACCAGTCCGAGATCTGTTTTGATAGCACCTGCCAAGGCTCATTCTAAAGCTGCTAAAAGAAAAGTGATGAACACAAAGACTTAGCAGTCAGCAGCGTATAGTCTATAGGAATGATACATACAGAAGAATAATTTCTTTGCTATAAATAGTGGCTTTGTTAATATCAGCTTCATGATACAAAGTATGCTAGTTGCAAAAGACAATCCTATTAGAAAGCTTATCTCACACACACAGAGATCCCTGCAATGTCGGACAGGTGAGAGGGAAGAATTAATTCAAATCAGAGCACACAATATAAATCAGCATTGCTAGGTCCCCTACACACAGTGTCCTGTCAGCCAGCTGGTCACTACACCTTTTATTTGCAAGGTCTTCTTAGTGATAGAGATCTATCACAGTTTGAGTAAGGCCCCTGTTTCATACCCCGTTAAAAAGTCTTCTCCATCAGCATGCAGCTCCCTGTGGCTGAGGACACTCCCAACACCTGGGTGCTAGCAGGGAGTCTCTGGCAGTAGGTGATGCTCTCCCTGTGCTGCTGCTGCTGCTGCTGCTGTGGCACCCCCAGGTAGCCCTGGGCCAGGAATCACCTGTCAGGTGAGCTCACTTCCTGCCCAGGTCACCCGGGCCTTCCTGGCGGTGAGCTGGAGGGGCTGGGTCCTTGCCTGGCCACCCAGGAAGGGTTGGGCAGGGAGCTCTGGTTGCTTTTTCTCCTGTGAAAAGATACAGTATTTCATGGAGTTGATCTACTGCTTGGAGAATCTTTGTGACTATCAAAGAAGAGATTAAAGTTTTAGCAGCTTAATATGTACATCTCTCTCTGAAAGGCTGATCAGAAAGCTACGTGAGAACTGCCAGTTATGGGAAAGGCTGTGGAATCTACGCAAACAAGGTAAGCATAGCTTTTAAAAGAATACCTGTAAGAGTTTGGAGGAGGGGGAGGATAAACACTGAAACAGAGGAGGTGAATGCAGGGAAGAAAACAGGCCAGCTATTAGCTTTCATACCAGTATTTGGGTTATGACTTTCAGCAAAACATGAAATGTGCAATAGAACTTAGCTAAGTATAGAAACAGTCCCTTGAAGCTATCTTGTACCCATAGTGTTCTTTGCTGGTTAAATAAGTACCTTGGCAAAAGATGAGAAAACAAATTAAACTGAAAAAGGAACAGGGGTCCCTCTTTCCCACTGTGTAAGGAGTTGTGAAAGAAGTTTAACAAGCTGAATTCCTGACTTCCCAGTGCTTGCCCCAGCTTATTTGTTTTTCTCCCCTTTTAAAGAGGATGTGCTTGCTTTCTTTACCTCCCTTCTAGAGCCACTCTCTTCAGTGTCCTTTGCCTGGTGGTTTTTTATAAGTTCTGGCTGCAGGCTGTCAAACTTAGACTTGAACCAGCGGTGAGCTTCCTCCAGGTTAACTGTGATCTAGGGAAGGCAGTGGTAATTAGAGCTGCAGAGCAAGTGGTTAATGTGGGCCGAGTTCCAGCTTTTGGGCCCTGTGCTGGAAGGGGGAAAAAAAAAAAAGAGTACGCCAAAGTCTCCTCGAATTCTCTCCTGTACGTGGGGGCAGGAACTCAAGAGTTCTCTCCCTCTGCATTGCTGTGGAGAGGTGGTAACAGCTGGGCACATGCTACAAAATTGTTTCTTATGAAAATATTATTGGCAGTAGTCCACAGAGTTCTCTCTCGACACAGCCCAAAACACAGAGGCATTGGGGAGTAGAGGGAAAAATGGAGGCTGAATACCACAAACTCCTAAGAAAGATGTGGGAAGACTAATAACTTTGCTTGAAGACTGACATGCTGTAGAAATACATATATGTTACTTTCTTGCTATTAAGGTCTTTTTCTAATAAATGATCAAGTACTTGAACGGATAAGTAGCAATGTAAGACCTCAAGCTGGGGCACCTCTGTTATTTATTTCTTTACTTTATGCTGGTTAACACCCTATTAAAAATATCTCAAAAAGTAGATTCTCATACCAGACTACTATAGTGATACATGTCAATTACGTTTATTTGGATATTACTGTACAATAGTGCAAGGATGAGGTGCAGCATGGACAAATGTGACCTCTCGGGGCAGGGGGGGTGGGAAATGTGGTTTGGATCGATGTCGAATAAAGAGCAATGTAATAGCGGTTTGGGGGGAAATTACTTGGCCACAACTAAGTGGGGTGTGTGGTTTTTTTTTTTTTCTGTTAAGATAGAAATCTATTGATCCTGACAAAAACAGTAAGCTGTGGGGAGAAAAGCTTTCTTACAAACTCCAATAAGTTAAAATATCTCATGCAAGAGATTGAAATTTAACTGAAAAAAATGAAGAATGCTAAAAACCAGTTTGTTACTTTTGAGCTGAAAAGATCAAGGATGCACCTCACTCTTCACCAGAGAATGAGATTCAAAGGTTCACACAATGCATACCTTGAAATGGTATTTTGTTACTGCCAATGAATTATAATTCTCAGGCTAAATAGTCTCACCTGTTCTGATTCTATCCTGGCTTCCTTCAGTTTCTGTTCTGTTTCTTCTTTACACTTCTTCAGCTGTTTGACTGTTTCTTCCAATCTCTAGGCAGAAAAAGAATAGTCATTTCTCAATTTTTTTTTTCATGGCACAAAGACAAAAATTGGCAATATTAACAGAATGACTCTTCCATTTTTAACTGTAAAATGCTTAAGAGTTTTATTGACAAAGACTGTAGAAGTAATTTTTCATATGTCAGATATATAGTGTTAATCCATACTGAACGCAAGATAAGTTGCTCCTTGGGCTTTCTGGGGCAGATACAGTAAGATTTGTAGGAGTATCTTTTGACATGAGATTCATGAAGTCTTTGTACCATCCCTTCTAGAACCCTATAGATGTTGTATAAAATGGTTCCACTGGTTTCTCACCACGCTTTCATAGTGTGATCATCTTACCTGACACTTGTTTTCCAGCTGCTGCCCTTGCCTTCTCTCCACTTCCAGCTGGGTCTCTAGCTGCCTGTTCTGTGTTTGTACTTCATGTTGGTTTTTCAACAACTCTTGCATCTCAGTCTGCAAACTTGTTAACTCTTTCACAAATTTCTGGATATTCTGTGACTGGTAACAACACAAGAATGAAATTTCAACAACCTGTTTTCATCAGATCAGCCTTTTTAGGAAGCTAGTCAAGAGAACACACCTGTTCATAATTCTTCTTCTGATACTGCTCTTTTATTGCTTCCATTTCCCTCAATTCAGATTCAATCTCCTGGAAAATTTTGAAAGAAAAACAAAACTTCAGGAATTTCTCAGGCTCCTCTGCAGTAATAGGTGCCATGTAACAGGCAGCGTTCGCCCACTGTCTCCTTATTTCCTATCCTGCAAGACTGAAGTTAGGAGAAGCCAGGCCCCAGTGGGGAAAAGGGAACAAGCAGGCAGCAGAGTTGCAAAGGACCCTGGATTCCCATTTGGGATCGGGTACCAGTGCTACCATATGGTCCATCGGTATGAAGGATGGAAAGGGACTAACCGCTGCACAAAGTAACCTTTGGCACCGATCACTGCTTTATCATTTTGTGGATACAGTCTGCTTAAGTGGACAAAAGGCTAATAGGAAAATACAGGGAGGAGATGGGACTCTGGCATCCTATTTAATGTAGGAAGAAAACGCAGGAAAGGCCATGCAATAGCAGCTATAGCTGCTATTGGTCTTCTGTTAGGCATCTGAGTTCAGAGTTAGTTTTGTTTATTGTCCAGCCTAGCTCTGCTACAAAGGGACAACAGTAGTCCTACTTAGTAGGAGGAAAAGGAGTTCTCAGGTAGGATGTCTGTCTCCACTGAAAAACATGCACGCACCTTTATCCTCTCTGTGTTCTGAGCGTTGCTAGCTTTAGAGGCCAGGCAATGTCTGACTTGAGCTCTCTGGCTTTTCAGCTTTTCCTTGTAGCTAGCCAAAGACTTCTCCAGCTCTGTTACTCTCTGCCGTAGCTCCCTGTTAGCACGTGAAACTTCACCCAGTTTGGAGGATGCTTCTTCAAGGGCCTTTTTGAGCTAGGGGACAGAGAAAAAGTGAGTTCACATCAATTGTGAAGATCAGTTCATTTCCTACAACCATTAATAGGGAGAATGCCCCAACGATTCCCTGTGTCTGGAGTATGCTATAGCACCTGGTGATCCAATTTTTTAAAATATCTTTGTAATAAAGGAATGAAAGGTGAATGCTGGGTCTGAGTAATGTTAAGGTCAAGCTGAGCTTTATGCTCCAGCCCCCAAAAAGCAAAGACTATTTCTGCCCTTTCACAACAGTATTTCCTCCCTGGAGGTTTCCATATAATGTCAGATTTTCCTTTTGAATTCATTGGAATGACTGATATCAATGCCTAAGTCTTATGTATGATGGGGTATACAGTGGTACTTGCAATGTACAGTCACCAAAACCTGTCTACCACAAAACAAAATTCTATTTGGTGCAAACAGGTGATGGACAACTCCATGATGATGGGAAAAGAGACAACTATTTGTCATGAATTGCTTTTTTGCAGTTTGAAAACTTGACATTGTAAAGCGGAGCTCTTTCTCTGGAAACCACTCACTGAAATCTTTTAATTCTATCCTTTTTTTCACCTCAGCAGATTCCCGCTGGGCAGCTTTTCTAGAAGCCTGTTGCTCAATGTGAAACTGCTTCTTCAAAGCCTCTAAGCGTTCGGCATACATCTTTTCCTCAGTCTGGGCTTCTTCCATTAGCTGTTTCCTTTTAAGGGAAGAAGCAAAATTGGTCATTCACATATACATTTAATATGCTTTATTTTTTGAACAGAAAATTCCATTATAAATATTTCTTTTGTCTTGGGTATACTCTTAGCAACACTAATGCTTAAGGATTTGATTTTGTAAATGTATATATACTTCATCTCTGCTCTGTTTGCAAGGAGGTTCCAAACAACTGTACAAGGAAAAAAAGATGGGGTTTTTTTTTTTTTTTGAACTTTAGGTTCACTTACTTTCCTTCAGAGAAGTAGGTGGCCAAGCCTCTTTAGACCAAGGATATTGAGGTGATTCACAGTGCACCAACACTTACTGTTAACTACTTTTAAATCTTATTTATTGGGGTTTAGTTTGGGGTGGAGGATTTAAACAGCTGTCCTCTGTGTGGGTCGCTTGTAGGTCACTTCAAAGTGCAAGTGATACCTGCTATGTCTGCTGAAAAAGTGCTATAATGACCCTAGGCAAGCAGTTCCTCAGAGGAGGAAGGCAGAGGAGGCTGAAGAAGCCATTATACGAATGGGCAAATCAGCTCATTCATGTAGCTCTGCGTAAGTCTATCTTTACCATGCTGCTGGTTCAGCATGTGGTCAGTGCTGATACTGATAGATGACAAAAGGCATAAAGCTCTGATGTTAGTGAAAAGTTATGTTTCTCCTCAGCTTTAATATCTTGGATCTGTTCTTACCTGCAGACTACCAGCTGTTGATGCTCAGCTTCTTTGCTTTTCAGGTCATACTGACTCTGAATCAGCTTGTTCTGCAAGGTATTGTTGGCCTGCAGAGCTTGTTCCAAACGAAGAGCAAGTTTCTTGTTGTCTGTTCTAGTAACTTCTAGTGCTTTACAAAGTGGTTCCACCTGGGCAGTAACAAGAGATCAGATTTAGGCTTACTCAAATGAAAAAGCATAAACAGGAACATTGTTCCCTTCCCAGTTGGTGTCAGCTTACTGGGAGTATGAGTCTGTTCACCCACTGCCTGATGACAAACATCCTTTCAAGCACAGGCATCTAGATGTGATTCCCTAAAAAGCCAATCCACAGACTGGCTTAGTCAGGAGGATCAGAATGAAAAACATGACTGTCTTGGAAAAAATGCCCCTTGCCAATAGTGAGTGTGTTTAGGTTGTGAGACATTGATTTTTAAACTATGTATTTTAAAGGAGGGAGGAAGAAAGCAACTCTCTGGCCCTTTCCCCCACCCTCCTTTTCCCCCCTCTCTCTTTCTCTTTTTTTTTTTTTTAATTTTTAAAGCTACATACATTTCAGAAATCTCTGTCCCTATCCAGCTGCAGACAGTAAAACCTTTACCTGTGCCAAGGAGTCTTACTTTAGAAAGATTTGTACTTGTTCTTTATCTTGATCTTTAATTACTTCCTTCAAAACCTGGAAAATGGTTTTCCTGCTCCGCAGCCTAAAGCTGATAGAATATTTTGCCTCCATTCACGTGAATGTATCACACCACACTGTTTCCCCCCCCTTCCCCCCCAAAAAGTGGGGGGAGGGCAATTGACTCAACCCTGAAGACGCAGTCCTGCCTATTTCTATGGCAAATCATGGCCTCTACCTGGCTGCTGTGCTGGCTTCCCATGGCAACCGCTCTGGCTTGGCAATGTTCCAATTCTGTTTCTAACCTCTGTATTTTCTGTTGACTCTGGCTCCTGAAAATGGAAATAGGGCAAACAAACAATGTATCGTCTCTGTGCACCTCTCCTCTGACGTGGTGGCAATCTCAGTTAGGTTCTCTGCTTTCACCATGTTAAGTTTTGCCTGTCACTGGCATTAAAATTAAGTTTATTCTCACCTGCTTCCCGCAAGATGCATGAGACCTGACCAAGCAGAATAGTTACAAGCACAGTTTTTCGCAGAGCTAGCCATGAGCATTTGGTACGCTTGGTTCATTGGTACTAAATATGTTTCAATGTTGCAGGAAAGGATATAGGAATTTTTCAAACAACCTTGTCCTAAAGAGTTTACTGGACAGCGCTGTGGAAGAGATGCCACTTCTCAACTGTATCTGCCTGTCTTCATCACACTAATTATACCACAGAAAGAATTATCAGCTTTACTTACCTGTCTTTTCTGAGACTGCTGATTTCGGTGTCCTTGTGTCCCAGCTCTGTTTGTACCACCTCCAGAGCTGCCTGCATCTTGCTATGAGAAGCTAACACTTGCTCCAGCATGGCTGTCACCTTACTGTTGTCATTCTTTGCTGCCTCCAGCTGGTGCTGCAAGTTTGCCATCTGAAGTACAAGAAACCAGGCAAAGGAGCAGGCAAATCAGTTATCTATTAGTTTGATCACAGGATTCTTTTAAAAGTAATTAACCTGCATGCTTGCAGCAGTGCCAAGAGTATGTGATGGTTCTGAACACAGAAATCGTTTCCTCCAAGTACACAGTCTTTATCCTACCCCTATTTTAAGCCCGACCTGAGTTTTGTTAATAACTTCAAGTGTTTATGAACTCTTGGCACCCAGGCTTCAGGAAGCACCACAGATGCATAAAGTTGAATTTTTAGTCAAAAAACAGTTGTCAGCACAACTTTTCATCTGCATCTCTTTCATACAAGAAATACTCAAAAGGTTTTGATCCTTGTTAATTTTCAGCTGTTTCTTCACTGTCAGCAATTTAATTGAACTATGTAATTGAAATGAACCATCTTTCTAACTTGCACTGCATGTTCTTCACTCACCACATTGAAGTCTCCTTTGTTAAGGCCAGCAGACCATACAGTTTTCAACAATCTTGGAGTCAGAATGTCTATTTTATTCTCCAGCCTTTCTTCCATGTTCTTAATAGCGTTTAACAGAATCCTCAGGCTGACCCTAGGATAATCTCCACGTTCAGAAGCAGACTTTCTTGAATGTTCATCTGGTTCAAAATGAACCCGTTGTAAAGGAGAGCGGAGAGCACAAGCACGTAAATCAAATTTCACAGTTTCTTCTTGTGAACCTGCAGCTAACCTAGTATTATGATCAGCAGACTTCTGCTGCCAGGGCCTTGCTGGGGATTTTTTTCTTTTTGGTGCCATTCCCACTACAAAACTAGTCTGTCCTTGGAAACAGTGAAGATGTGAGTACAAAAAAGAGAGAAATTAACAAAATACATTCCAAAATATCTATTAACCAGAGCAGAAGTAAAAGCCACAATAGCAGATGCTACGTCTTATTCCTAAGTCTGCATTACATTAAGATCTCTTGCCCCAAGTAAAACATCTTAAGAGATCCTTTACAACGTATGGTTTTAGGCTCTCTTCCATGATATTCTCCACAGCAGCGCAATTTCTCTCTGTATTCCTTAACAGTGAGACACTATGCTGACCAGCTCTTCCATTAGAAGTCTGCAATGCCCTCACTGTGATGTCAGCTGGCATCACAGCTCTGTGGCACCAGCACAGCCCCCGGGTTCTGTGTGCCACTCTTGTTTCCGCTGCAAGAACTTTCTCTAGCTGCTCTTTACATCTGCGGAGTAGTGGTACTGAGTACTGCATAGTACTATAACTTTCCCCAAACTGAACGCTCTCAGGTCATGGACTCTAGCTGTCAATGCAATACTCATTTTCCTTTGATTATCTAATGGGTCAGCCTCTATGATGGAGAATTAAGGTACAAGAGAAACTTTAATTTTGCTTATTGGAAACAGATGGCAGAAACGGGACCTCCTGTTTTCCAGACAAGTGCCCTAAACCCAGTTACGTTCTCTATCTAATTTCTACAGCACAGCACGCAGATTCAGCCTTTTTAGAAATTCTCCAACTCAGCAAGTATATTACAAGACTGCTATTCTAAACTGTAAATTCAAGCAACTGTACCAAGACTTCCATTCACAAGCAAGAATAAACTCTCAATAGTATATGCTCTTCACAAACTTCCGCTCCTTCTCGGATACCAAAGCAACTTCATGACAGAGCAGAGTCCGTTTCACCATATAAAACCTACAAGCTTGGTTTCACTGCCCGGGATAATACAACTCCTGTGTGCGCTCCTATCCATTAGGACTGAGTGAACTGACTGAATTAGAATAACTATCTGCCTCCAAGCAATATAGCTAGTTGAGCTAAAAATATTATATGTGACTGTTTGTTCTTACTGGGAACTAACAGTAAATCATGAGGACTATCCTTATCTCAAAAACTCTGTTTTCCAGCCTGAATACATGCAGTTAACTTGCATGAAAACAGGTCTGATACCTGTTTTAGTTGAGCTTCCATCCTTCTCATGTCATGCTGGAATCAAATTCTTTATTCACCTGTAAACTAGGATGCTACAGCTAATATTAAATATGTGCTTTGTTCTTCAAGAAAGTGAGCTAAATCTGATGACTATTTAAACATTAATTATAGTCTGAACCTAATCCTGAGAGTAGGAAGTCCACAAAGTCCTGTTGTACCTGAGTATATTTGGTCTCTAGCACTGCATTGCGCACTTGTGAAGCTGGCTATTATCTAAATGTGCATCTGTAAGAGACTGCTGCTCTTCCTCCAGCTGCAGCGCTTTGGTCTTAAGGAAAGCAAAGATGGATGCAGCAGAACAGCAGACTTCTTTCAATGAAGAAGTGGAAAAATGTTAGCTTGACTGGTACGCGGAAGCAGAGGGATGCAACAGTTTATCTGTGACCAGAGCAAATGTTCTATTTTTGTCAAGTCCCCTAATAGCAGGAGCAGCAAGAGAACCATTTCTAACTTATCCTTGCATAGAAATGATTGTACATTAGAATTAGTCACCTACCATCAGATATAGAGACATTACATAAACACGTAGCTTTCTCACTTTTTTAATAACCACTATACCCTCTATGCTGCTTTTTGAAAGAACCTCAGAAATCTTTGCATCACTGCCCCAAATTCTATGACATACATCACATCGAAGTGAAAACTTCACTTTTAGCACTTCATCTACTGTCCAGCTAACTTACGCTTAAGAAAGCTTACATACGCTTTCTAGTTATGCTTACCACCATGACTTGCCTCCCTCCTTATCAATTCCTGTCTTCTATAAAGCTTTCCATGTTTCCATTCTTTCAACCAAGTTTCCACTCATGTGTTTGTTTTAATCTCTCGTGGTCCTTCTTAGCCATTAAACAACTTCTCAGAAATTTTAGCGATGTTATGTCAGTAGCATCATGGCCTGATCTGTCACCCAAACATAGTAAGCAGTATGGGCAGGATCAAACATGATTTTGATATAAAACTGTATGTATGTGTTAATGTATGTGTTTAACAACGCACAAATAAATAAGAACTTCCCTCCAAATTAAATAGTGAAGAGCTAAGGTTAAACAATCTTATATTAGATGAACATAAAAGAGGAGTTCTCCCCTTAATCTTATAAACAAGATGCTGTGAGGTACCTGAAGTTTTCCTTTGTCATAGGCCAGTCTATTCTTGCTGTTAGTCAGCTCTGCTTGCACCTGCTGCACCTGCTGCTGGGCATGCTGAGGAAACAAGAGCAGAAGTCACTATTTCCTAGGAAAGTAAGGCAAAAAGCAACAAAAAAGGAGTTCAGTGCTCTGTTTCTCCCTGAAACTTCCCCCTGCTACGTTATAGCACCTTCCATAAGTTCTGATTTTTTTGCTTCAGGTGGAAAATCTCAGTTAAGTGAAACACTAAAAGGGCAGGGTATGCAAGACCAAAAAAACCGGAAAAGGTAAAATACTCCCAGGCTGACTTAGTCTCTAGGAAGAACCATTCAAATTAGTACCAATGGACAGCCATTGGATGGCCACTGTTTTAGAAGCACAGACAACAGAAATGGAGAGATGAAAGATAAATCTTTGACAAGAGGAACATGGTAGCAAAAAGAACTAAGAGAAGAATGAGAAAGCATTGACAAAAGCAAAATAAAATAATTTAGAGTGACAGGAGTTAAGGAATACCAAAAAATTAAAAACTAGGCAACTCTTCTAAGGTTCTGTACTTGGTACAGATACTTACTAGTTAGGTTATTTTTATTAGAAAGCAGCTTACCTGCTGGTGTTCCAGTGCAGCCAAGCGATCCAATAGCCTCTTGTTTTCTTCTACTAGTGTCTGCAAAGAGGATTTCATTGAAGCCATTTCTAGCTATAAACAGAAAAATACAACTCTCATCATACCACTTCAACATTTCCAGAGTCACTAGACAAAACTGCAGTACTACATATGGACTAGCTACGGCCTCTACTCTTTCCTCAAGAGAGAGCCTTTCCTCAATGGGAAAAGAAACTCCACAAATCAATCAATCAATCAATCAGTCATGTTGACTTAAGTTACCATGCTAAGGAGTCCTTCATTTATACCACAAATGCTATCCTTCATTTTCCAGGCTATGCAAGGGAGCTACACAGGTAAAACAGCTGAAAGCAGCTGAAAATTATTTATCAAGCTTGCTATAATAGCAAGACAAACTTATTAATACAAACAGGGCCTTGTGTAGGTAAGCAGTAGGGTTCCTGTCCCAAAGGACATAAATTAAATATATATATATATATATATAGAAGTAGCAAACAGCAAAGTGAATATTATGACTATGATAATTATAACACTATTTAGAACTAATTTAATTAGAAGAGAATAAGGAAAATGAAACAAAAACTTTTAGGAAGAGAGAATACTGAGTTTAAAAAAGTCACATATATTGCAAGATACCTTGTTCTCTTTTTTTTTTTTTTTTTTTTTTTTTCTACTTCCAGTTTGCTCCTTTCCTGTGTTGTCTTTATCTGCGACCAGGAATTTTAAATACTTTTAAAGTCATCTGAAAAACTTCTAGATTCACAGGAGTTCTACACATCTATAAAACTATTGATCAGAAGGTCACAAGTCAACTCTGAAATTCAGAAATAATATCTGCAGAGCTGTCCTGTCCTATTTCCCTTTTAATGCTCCAGAAGGGAGACATTACAGGTCAAAATACAGAAGCAGTAGGAAACAAGAGTCTGTGTGTCACTTTTTGTCATAGCAATAACAACAAATCATCTTTCCAAAGACAAAACTGGTATGAAAATACAGATTTTAGCAAAGTGGATCCTAAAGCTGTCCTCAAGAATATACCTTTAGAATAACTTTTATGTACCTCCTGTTTAAGATCTTCCTTTTCTGCTAGCAGAGATCCTCTCTCTTGCAAAGCTGTTTCCAGTTCACTTTGCAGTCTAGCAACAGTACACTGCAGAAGCTTTCTCTGGGTGGTGGCTGCTCCCTCTTTGAGGCTTGCTTTCTGTCTGCATTTGCCATGCTCTGTATGCAAGGCCTCCCTAAAGACAGACACAAAATAGCCAAGCTGGAGCTCTAGCTCCATACAGGACATGGAGAACAGAAGATGGCCTCCATATTAAATACCAAACTTTCTATGTTAATAAGTAACAAGTGTTAGAAAAGCAGAATACAAGGGGGCAGGCATACAAGAAAGGATGGAGAAGACAGAGGCTGCAGATGAGAAAACTCCTCACAGCTCTTTCTGAAGCTGAGCCCTCTCATGCTGCACGTTCTGCAGCTCCCCGAGAATGTCAGCACAGGCAGCATCCAGAAGTGAGTCTTGCTCCTGCAGCTGCCGAGTCATCTTTTCTTGTTCTGCCTAAAGGGGAAAAATTACTCAGGCAATTAACACCAACATCAAAACAATAGAGACAAGAGTATTTAATTGACAAAACTGTTAATTTATTATCAGGCTCTGTGTCGTTTCCCTATAGTTCTGCGTGCTGCTTCTTGAATAGGGTGTCAAAAAGCAGAGTTACCTTACCTAGACAGAGCTTTCTATAGATATATTTTTTTAATCTCAGTTAGGTCTTTGTGGCTTCCACTTAGCTTCTTCATTTACAGTCAGCACAATGCCCATTAACTTTTACTCGTCTCTTTCTTAGTGGTTCTTACAGGATATTTTTACAAAGTGTGTATCACATCTAGAGTTTCCCCTCCTCCTCCATAACATAGGCTTTTATTTGCAGTATTGAAATAATAGTATTTGAACCACATAAAGTCTTATTTTTCTTTTTAGAGAACTTTCTAGAACTGATAACTTAGCAAGTTTCAGAACTTACAGCTTTAGAACTTCTTAGAACTCAGGCTTTTTAGAACTTATATGTTCCCATAGGTTATCGGTGCTGTCTTGTCATCTATCTTATATCCAAGTCGCAGAAAACTTTCTTGGACCATTTAACAGTCAGCTACATACCTTAAGGGTGTCCTGATGATCTGAAATAAGTTTAACATTCTCCATGGCAACACTTTGAAGCGCGGTGCTGAGGTCTGAGCATTGCTGGCTTAAGTGGTCATTAAGGACCTGGTTAGATAGAGAAAGCAGGAAGATGACAAGCATTTTCAGACTTTGTAGCATAGCATGGCATCAAGTATTTTCCACAATCTCTTGCAGATCTTGTTTTGCTCAAACATAGCACAGGCCAAAGAAAACGTGTTCAACTCTGTGGTAAGATATGGAGGAAAAAAAGGCAAAATTTAAACTACAAATCAAGAATAATCACTTATTGATTCTGAAGTCCAGATAAAAGACAAGTAATGTTTCTAAATGAAGGCAAAAATGAGAAAAGAATCCCTGATAACTCCATGTTGACGTCAACGACGTCAACCTTTTGCCCCAAAAGGCAGAAGAGATTTTAGCTAAGCAGCTACTCTAGATTTATCTCATGAATAGAAATGTTGATGTAGAATCTAAGGGTGCAAAGGAATACAGAGGCACTACTTTTAAGGATACATAGAGGTAGGAGCAGCAGTAGTTCTTCACATCCTGGCAGTCGAATAAGACACCTGTAACAAAGCTGATTTAAATTAACTACTGTGAAGAAAACTTTCCAGCCTTAAGGTGAGGAAATCATGAACAGTTACCTAGGCTACTGACTGAATTTCCTTTGCTGAAGTTGTTAATTAGCCCATATTACCTAAGGGCACTGAATTTTGTCTCCTGAGCTGTATTTGAGGCTTCCCAGTGAATGCGTGATCGCTTTTCATTATAATCACTTGGCTTGCTATATGTTACTTCCATTTTAAAAGCACACGAAGAGGAACTGTTCTCATTACCTGTACTTTCTCTGCTGTTTCTTGCAGGGCAATTATTTTAGACTGAAGCTGCAGGTTCTCTTTTTGTTGTCTGTTAAAGGACAGCTGTGCGTTCTAAGGGGCAAAAAAAAAAAAAAAAAAAAAAACTTCCACTGAGAAAAATGTAAAATATCTCATCATTCAGCCAGGAACTTCACACATGTCAAGTCTTTGTCTCACATCCACCTATTTTCTTTAAGCTACTGCCACGTGGCTCGGTGCTCTTGCAAGCAAAAGACATGGATCCTGTAGTACAAGCCTCTTTCCAAAATATACCTTGAAAGCAATAACCAAAGTACTTGGTTATTATTGGTACTTAGTACCATTGCTTGTTTTGCAGCTACTTCAACTTTGCTTTGAAAGTTTTGAGAAACTTCCTATCTCTTCTCAGCTCAAACTTATTTGCCTCCATTATAATTAACCTTGACCTTTTTGAAGCTAAAAGGTCTCCTTGCCAGAAGCACTAGAATTTCCAATTCAAGGAATCCTTTCCCAGATTGCAAGACTGCACATCTAAGTTGAGCTTTTACTTCATTTTCACTGAAACGTATTCTTTCAAGGACAACTTCTGGCAGCGTACACAGTCCCTACAAAGGCTGTAAAAGCACACCTCTTTGCCCATTTAGTGCCCAGCTGCATGAGGTCCTGATTTTCTATAGTATTAATTTACTAATCCATCTATTTGTCTCCTCTCTATGTGATAACTGTGTTACTGCAACAGTGTTTTGTGGACAGCTCTAGACTTTCCAAAGAATGCATTCAGAACACTGTTTTGATATTTCAATAGAGTGTAAGGGTTAATTTTTCCAAAAACAAGTAGGGCAACCTTAGATTGGTAAAATAACTAACAAAACAAGTTTTCTGGTTATCGCCCTCGGTGGCATTTGTCCACATAAAAATTCTGCCTCTTAAATATGGTACATTTGAAAGACCCCAAATAGGCTGCCGTTTCTCACATCTGTATAGCCATTTTCCTCACCAATAATTGTTTACAACTTACTCTTGCTTCTTCACCAAGCTGGGAAATGATACAGTTCCTGGAGTCTAAAAGCAGAAAAGAGTATTAGGACGTACTGTTATCTGTTTGGTAATTTTAAAAGGTGACATTTTGATTCAATAACTTAGCTAAGCTAAAACATTAAATATGCCACAAGCAGATAAGATTTCAACAAATGTGCTGTTCTTTAATGCTTTTATTGATGTCTTTAACTGTACAGGCATCATAAAGTTACTGTACAGCTGTCACTTACTCTGGAAATGAAGCGCAACTTATTTTTCCTCAGTTTTACAGTTAAGCACGCAATGGTGCCCGTCTCCTACAGGCACCCCTTCTGTGATTGCTTGGGCAAATTAGATAACCCAAAGAGTGGAAGTTTCTTGTTCAGCTGTTTCTTTACTGTGGAAACTACTGATTTGTCCTGACTGTACCCATAGCCTACATTTCACTTTGCAAGTTTTCGTGCACTGACAAATTATAATAGTCAGATCCCTGCTTAAAACATCAGATCTAAAAGTAGAAGTATTTTTGCTGTATTCTGAATCAACCTGTCTATAATAGCTGCCCTTATTCTGCTCTGCTGGATGAGATACTGAAAAAGTGGAAGACAATGAGAGATAATTCAGCATACTCAGGGTGGGGAGGGAAGTCTAGCTAAAATATTGTAACATCCAATGTATCATCTATGAAGATTGGTCAAAAGTTCTTTCAATTAGCAAATGCAAAAATCCTTGATCAGTAGGATTATTTCATACAGAATTAAAGAGTTTTTATGTCTCATTTAAACTTGTCACTTGCACATGGATTTGTTTTGAAGAATTTTTCTGCCCTCGAAGAATCTCTCCTGTTCATCCAACTCTGCCATAACATGACAAGATTCTCTCCTCTTGCTATGGCTTATTCAGAAATGCTGAATGCCATTTAACTGCAGGTTAATTACTGTTGGCATATCAGGGCACTTGTGGTTCATAGAAAAACAAACATAAAATATGGGAAACGGGAGCAGTGCTCTAACAGGAGGAACTAGAAATCTGAAGTAGGTCCTGAGGGAAGGATCACAGGAAGAATAATTATGCCAGGATTTAAGGCAGGGTTACTGTGAATTATCCTTTGGGAATAAGCAACAGACTTGAAGGTAGGAATGTTTACCTGCAATTTTTGCAAACACAGCTTTTCCCCAAGTGTGGTAAATGTCATTTAATTCCCTTATAAACAGCTCGTTTCACATCAAAAGACTGAGAATCTAAATCAGATCAGCCAGAAGCTTATCCAAAACACTTGTTCCTATATATGATGTTTACTACAGCGTGCTTTTTTAATCACTTCAAAAGACTCAACAGCAATGAGCACTCTACTTCCACATCAGTTCAGGAATCGTGTGTTATAGTTGCTTGCTAGATTTGCCTCCTCTGAAAACAATCTATGCTGATGAAATCTATTAACATTACTGTTGTGTATTTGTTACCTAACTATTACTGTGGCAAATTTCCTCTAAGTAAGAAGTCTTTAGAAACTTCACAGGCAACCTAAGAGAAGTCTTTAAAATTTCAGCACCTCTCAAGCTGCACTCCATTCCTGTTAATGGATACACCTACCGTAGGTCTGGAGGACCCCAGTAATTCTAGTGATGTGCTTGCTTCCACCTACTGTGGAAGCAGTGAAAGCAGGGCTACAAAGATATGACAAGAACCCACTGTCATACCCAGCTCAGCTTTCAGTTGTGTGCACTGCTGCTCCAGCTGCGCGGTTCTCTCCTCCTCCTCTTGCAGACTCTCTCGGGCTAGCTGGACATCTTTACGCAACTCCTGGCAGTCCTGCTGCAATATCTGCACCTTCAATGTATATCACAGATTATTCTTCAAGGTGCAGAATGCAGTGAAGCAAACCTAAGCAAATTACAGCCTGAAACATTGATCCGACTGGAAAAAAACAGACTGATGAGCTTCTCTTCCCTTTCACCTTGCCCCAAGTAAATTTTATGCAGAAAATAATTCATGCCAAATAATTAATTTTCTGTATGTTATGCACTGTGCATGTTCTCTTCATCACCTTTACAGGATAGGTGGAATCAAACAAGTTTGCGTTATTAAACATTACAGAAAAGATCAAGCTATAAAAGAATGAAGTTCAATGTAACATGCAAGGCCACTCTACCAGTCTCGCTCATGCTCTGTTTTCGGAGGGACTTTTTTGTTTTGTTTTTACACTAATTAATCATAAATATATCTTTGGGTGAGGTATAGCCATCAGAAAGTGACAGATGGATTAAACTGAGTCTTTGCTTCTCATAAATTCAGTAATGCATCTCTAATTTTTTTCCACTTCTGCTGTAAAAGAACAGGAAAAGGATGAAATGGATGTAGGGGAGAAAAATTTAGTAACGTCTAATACAACTTTGCTGTAAATTTCTAAAACGGACACAGATCGTCATCAAAAATATGGAAGAAAATGAACTATTCAAGTTTTGATACTTTGCTATTTGCTTTATTATTTATCCTCACTATCGTTATTGTTGCTACAATTTCAGAAGTGATAGAGTGGCTGTCTGTGGCTTGTGTGTGTGCATGCAGAGAGGAGGATTGTTTTTACATTTATTTGAAGTACGTATTTCTGCCATATTTCTTCCCTCCCTCCCACCCCCCCAAGATAGCTACATAACACAAATGCAGCTGAAAGCCAAAAATCTAACTTTGCCATTATGGCAGTTAATGGAGAAAACATCGTTAATCCCAGGACATTTAAGAACTCTAGAGAATATTTTCAGAAATCTTGTTTTCTAACAGAAGGTTTTATCAGTACCTTCGTTATAAAGAGAATTTAACATTAGACAAGCAGATGTAGCATCATTTGCGATTACTCATGAGATACCAAAAGTATTAAGGTAGCAAAATTATGTTAAACTCTGTATTATTTGTATCTTTTAGATAAGATTCATTTCTTCTGCTACTAGAAGAGTGAGTCAACCTACAAAAATACAAAGATAAACAGGCATTATCTTTCATCTTACTATTAAAACTAATATCCATAAAACCACAGATACATACATAATCTTCCTGTTTTCATACCCCTCTGCAAACTGTTCATATTTCCTCACTCTGTCAGTTATTTTCAGAACTTTAAACCTACTTTATTTATGAAGAGACAGCACACATCCTCACCACACTTGCCAAGGATAAGTGGCTGACACACTGAACAGCAGAGCTTTATTTCAGAAAGGCCTTGATATACTTGACCAATGGGCCAACAGAAACCTCGTGAAGTTCAGTAGGGGGATTTGTAAGCCTCTGCACGAGGGGTACAATGACCCCATGCATCAGTACAGCCTGGGAACAGACAGAGCGAGCAGCAGCAAGACCTGGGGTGCCAGGCAGAATAGGAGCCAGCAGGTGCTCTCATCGCAAATAAGGCAAACCACCTAACAGGCTACGTTAGCAGGAGCGTGGCCAACTTTACAGAAGTTATTTTTCCCCTCCGTTTGATGCTGGTGAGGATGCACCTGGAACCCTATACCCAGTTTTAGGGCCCCCAGTTCAAGATGAAGAAAACGGAGAGGGGACAACAGAGGGCTACGGAGATAGTTGGGGTCTAGAAAAAGTGACTTATGAGAAGAGACTGAGGTTGTTTAGTCTAGCGAAGAAGAGGTTAAGGCAGGATCTAATTGCAGCAGGGTAGCTCCAAAGATAATGAAATCAAACTCTTCTCAATACCATAAACTCAATAACATAACAAGGGGCAATGGCCCCAAATTTAAGCTTGGGAGGTTCAGGTTGGGCACTAGGAAAAACCTTTTCAACTGGAACAATACTGTGGCACTGGAAAAAATTGCCTACAGAGCCTGTGGAATCTCAGTCCTTGGACTCTGCTAGAGAAATCCACCACTGACTTGATCTATTATTGATGATACTTCCTTCAAGCAGGAAGTTGGACTAGATGATCTTTTCTAACTGGTGTTTGTATGATTCAGTTTAAGGAGTTTTTTTTTTTGTTTGTTTGTTTGTTTTTTAAGATATAAGTTGCATCACACTTGAGCACTTGTGAAATATTTTAACTGTTCTCTAGGCAGGACATACAAGCTCTTCCTTTTCTTCCCAGATGATAACAGGAAAAAAGATACAAAAGAAGAGTGAAAAAGTTTCTCAAACCTGCTTCCGTTCTGCTTCTACTGTTGTTTCCATGTTCTGTACATGACACATCATGGTTGCTTGGGATTCCTCCAAAGATTCCCGCAGGCCCATCTCCTGGGACAGCTGCTCTGTTAGCTGGGGGGAGGAAAAAAAAAAGTCTCCTGATCCAGGTCTAATTAAGTAGATTGAACAAACACTTTGAGATCATATACGGATGATGTTCTGCCTGGAATATTTAGTTATAAGCACAGCTGGCTGCCTCCTTTGGGTTATGCACATTCCAAACTTGCACCTGGACTATTATTTAAGGATATTCTTCAAAGCTTTAAATAACACTTGGCAAATTCAGCCTCTTGCTAAGTTTTTTGCTCTTGTGCAAGCAGTCTTGTACTCCTGCAGTCTACAGTTCATTTTCAGTTTTGTGTTCCTCAGCTGCAATTGCTACATCCATCTAAAGATGTTGAAGGGAACAAATATTTGTATCTTGTCCTATTGTGTTCATAACTATCTCAAAAGGAATAGGTATTATAAAATGCAACACCCATGCTAAAACTTACCTAGAATTTGATTTCTGTTTCCAGTCTGATGTTCTCTGTTCTGAAGCACTGACTAGAACAGTGCAAGCACTAAGAAGTAATCAATTCTTTAACACAGTAGAGGAGACTGTGCCATGTTGCACTGAGCTTTGTTTTTGTTTTAAGAGCGATAATAGTCGAGGTGTAAGACTGAAATATCAGAGAAATTTAAGTTCCTAGAAAAATGGAAAAGTTATTGAGAACTCCACATATGAAAGCTAGGATGAACTTTAATCCTGAAGAAGGGAGAATTACAAATTTCAATTATTTCTCTTCTTGAGTTGTTGTGCAATTATTTCTTTAATGGTGGAACCAGAGAACTTCATTGTCAAAATAAGTTTTCTCTTACAATCGGCGATAAGCAGTAATGCTTGTAAATGCTTGTTTCCAAAGGAGCATATCTTTCATTTAACTATATCTGAGACAGTAGTACTTAAAGTACTACAGATAAACCTGTTAAACCTAAAAACACAATAAGATCGTAATCTCTCAACATGCCGACTTTTGTACCTTGGTTGCAGTTCTAATCTCCAGAGCAGCACTCAGTCTTTGAACTTCTTCTTTTGCCTTTTCTTCAGCCTCTTTCATATCACTTAGCTGCTGGCGTAATTTCACTGCCTCTTGCTGTACAATCTTCATTTCCTGCAAATGCTCTTCCTGCATTGCATTCAGCCGCTGCTCCAACTGGGCTGCCAGACAGAAAAGGAAAAAAAACATCGTCAACAGAAGAAGTGTATGAAGGCACAATCAACAATGAAGAGGTTAAAAAAAAAAAAATATTTCATTACCTGCATGCCTTGGATTCGGCTCTTTTTCTGTCTGTAGACGGAAGATGTTTAACTTTAGTGTCTGTACAACACTCTCTAACCGACACATTCGATTCACCAGCGTTTCACAGTTTTTCCACAGTGTATTTTCTCCCACAAATGCTACCCGGGCCTGCATAGGACTTATAGCTGGGTAGCGAGCAGATGTCTCCAAGGTCTCTGAGTGGAAAAGATCAAGGCTGAAAAGGAGAGAAGACTGACTTACTACATTTATGCACATATCCCATTGTATGTATGCCTTACAGATGTGGCTAGATCAGAAACCACATTTCATACGGCTGGAAGGTTTCCTGCCATTCCCTGTCGCTGCAGCT